TCAACAAATTGTGCTGGTCCACCTGGGTGTCTACATGGAGAAAAATGAGAATAGATCCATATTCATCACCCTGCACAAAACTGAAATCCAAGTGGATCAAAGATCTCAATATAAAACCAGATACACTAAATCGGTTAGAAGAAAAAGTGGGGGAGAGCCTAGAACTCATTGGCACAGGAGACAACTTCCTGAACAGAACACCAACAGCCCAGGCTCTAAGAACAACAATCAGTAAATAGGACCTCATGAAACTGAAAAGCTTCTGTAAAGCAAAGGATACTGTCCTCAGAACAAAACGACAGCCTCCAGATTGGGAAAGGATCTTCACCAACCCTATATCTGGCACAGGGCTAATATCCAGAATATATAAAGAACTAAAGAAGATAAAAAGCAATAAATCAAGCAATCCAATTAAAAATGGGGTAAGGAGCTAAATAGAAATTTCTCTGTAGAAGAATATAGAATGGCAGAGAAACACTTAAAGAAATGCTCAACGTCTTTAGCCATCAGAGAGATACAAATCAAAACTCCCCTGAAATTTCAACTTACACCCATAAGAATGGCTAAGATCAAAAACTCAAGTGACAACACATTTTAGAATGGTTGTGGAGAAAGGGGAACCCACCTCCACTGCTGGTGGGAATGTAAACTTGTACAACCTCTTTGGAAATCAATCTGGCCCTTTCTCAGACAAGTAGGAATAGTGCTATGTCAACATCCAGCTATACCACTCCTAGGCATATATCCAAAAGATGCTCAAGTACACAACAAGGATATTTGTTCAACCATGTTTGTAGTGGCTTTATTCGTAATAGCCAGAACCTGGAAACAACCCAGATATCCATCAACAGAGGAATGGATACAGAAATTGTGGTACTTTTACACAATGTAATACTACTCAGCAATTAAAAACAAGGAAATCATAAAATTTGCAGGCAAATGGTGCAAACTAGAAAAGATCATCCTGAGTGAGGTATCCCAGGAGCAGAAAGACACACAAGGTATATACTCACTTATAAGTGGGTATTAGACCTATAAGATAGGATAAACATACTAAAATCTATACACTTAAAGAAGATAAACAAGAAAGAGGACCCTAAGTAAGATGATCAACCCTCACTTAGAAAAACAAATGGGATTGACATTAGAAGTAGGAGAAAACAAGTAACAGGACAGGAGCTTAACACGGAGGGCCTCTGAAAGACTCTCCCTAGCAGTGTATCAAAGCAGATGCTGAGACTCATAACCAGACCTTCGGCATAGTGCAGGGAATCATATGAAAGAAGGGTGAGTTATTATGACCTGTAGAGGACCGAAGCTCCACAAGGACCAAATATATCTGGGCACAGCAGGTTTTTATGAGACTGTTTCTCCAAACAAGCACCATGTATGGATATAACCTAGAACCCCTCCTCGGATGTAGCCCATGGTAGCTCAGTATCCAAGTGAGTAACCTAGTAAGGGGAACAGGGACTATTTCTGATGTGAACTCAATGGCTGGCTCTTTGACCTCTCCCCCCCACCGAGGGAGGAGCAGCCTTGCTAGGCCACAGAGGAGGACATGGCATCCAGTCCTGAAGATACCTGATAAGCTAGGGTCAGATGGAAGGAGAGGAGGACCTTCCCTATCAGTGGACTTGGAAAAGGGCAGGGAAGAGATGAGGGAGGGAGAGTGGGATTGGGAGGGAATGAAGGAGGGGCTATGACTGGTATACAAATTAAATATCCTGTGATTAATATAATAAACAAAAAATATTACAAATAAAATAAATTAGCAGAAATTGAAAAAAAACAATATATACTAGTTAAGGTTATAAATGATCATATAATTTATAAACACAAAGTCATAGAAAATGGTCAGAGAACAACAATCCATTACATAAAAATACATATATGGGGAACTTTGCTAACACAAGTGGCTGATATCTGATATTTTTGGGGACAAGAAATCTTTAAAGTGCTGGGAAAGCAAAAATCAACTCAGAATTTTGTACTCAACAAATATATTCTTCAGTGATGGAAAACAAAGTATTTTGAATTCCAACAAAACAAAGAAAATTATTTGTCAGTAGGCTTAAATTTACATGAAATACAAAAGGTATAGGAAAATAGCTGTAGTACTTGGCACCTCAGTGAGGTTTTTTTTTTTTTTTCACTATAAACTGCTTATGCACGGATTGATTATAACCTGCTATGGGTCTTGGGAAAATAACCTCCAATTTATCTCTGAAAGAGGCAATGTAACGAGTCATATAAGGCATGAACCCATGGCCATTTCTCATCTATGTTTATATGATTAGTTGAACATAGAGCTTTCCACATTCCATCTTAGGGTAAATATACATAAAATCCTTGATTCATAATTTGGGGTTGCTTATTCATGGGCATGACAACTGATTGTTAATACAACCTGCCACTTAGGCCCTCTAGTTCACTGTAATCATGTGGGAACATGTAGTTGGTGAACATTTTAAAGTCACAATGACATTGCTGTTGTCTAAATAATATTCTGAATCTATTTGGGTTTGTTCCAACCTTTCTGTATAAGTTTATGGAATTGTAACAAATTGACCAAGTAACTGCATACGGGATACTATGAAATTCTCTAGCTATGCCACTGCTGCCTAGATTCTGCTTGATCTCTGGACAAAAGGATGCTCTTTATCAAGCTGAAGGGAAATGAATCCAAACAGAATTCCCGATATTCACTTGAAATGAAGCATAAATTATTTATATATACATATTCACATGTAAATAGTTAAAAATGGTTTTCACTCCTTTTAGTTTCTTAAAGCACACAAGATTCTTTAGAGAATGTTATTTTGTAGTTTTTATATATAGTTGCAATACATTAGACAACTATATAAAAGGCCAAATAGAAAGAGGCAAAATTGGCTTTTAATGTTGCAAGAATAATACATTTCATTAAGTTTTATAATAGTCTAATAATACTGTCTTTAATTACATCATGATAACAACAAAAGTTCTCAATAAAAATACTACAAAAAATCTAAAATGCCAGGAATCTTTATATTATGAGTAGAATTGGAAGTAAAACTGCTTAAAATAATTTCATTTGCCTTAAACTTGAAGCATGCTTGTCTTATATAGATTAATAAATGTTATATCTAAATAAATAACTCAAGCATTTTTAAAAGTGAAGAAATAATGAAAATGACAAAAATTAAAAGTATAAAGATTTCAAATTAAAATCCCCATGAAAATCATCATTGCTTTATAAAACTTTTTATTTTGAAATATAAATGTACAAGTGTTTGCAAAAATAGCTCATGGTCTACTGTACGTTTTCACTTGTTTCCCATAGTGATGAAATATTATATCATTATAGTAGCAGACTATAGGACTTATTCAGTTTTTTCAGTATCTATGCATTTGTAGGTGTGTGTGAGAGAGGTATATACAACCATCATCACAAAGTCATAATCGTATCCACTCCTTACATTCATGCCTCTGCAAACCCCTATTCAGATATTCTACAGCTCATTATTTGTCATTTCAACATGTATGTATAACTAGAACTACATGGCATTAACCCTTTGAGATTGACTTTTTCTAGTAAGCATCAATTCCTTCATAAGCATGCAGAATTTTCTTTATATCAGCATTTCATTCCTTTTACTATTGAGTATTCCCTGGTATGGAAGTACTGGACTTTATTTACTCACTGACTGAAAGACATTTAGGTTGTTTCCAGTCAGGGATGATTATGAACAAAACTATATAAACATCTGAATACATATATTTATATAAATCTGAATTTTCCTTTATGTAAGATAAATACTCAAGAGTGATATTTCTAGGTCTTATAAGTAATTGAAAATTTAGCTTTACAAGAAAATGGAGAGTTTAAGTGTATAACTCAGTGGTACCACACCTTGATACTCAACACTGAAAAAGAAAAAAAGAAAACAAAAGGAAATGAAATGTATACATCCTTTTAGAGAGGCTATATGACTTTACATTCTCAACATCAATATTGAGAGAGTTTGTGTTTTACTCTCATAACAGGGTCTTTAATACTGAAAAGAATTTAAAAATTTGAAAGTTTAGTTTGATACATTCCCATACATACTCACTTTTATTGATTATACTGTGAACCATAAGAATCCTTCATCAACTTCCAGACCTAGAATTTTTCTATAATATTGAGAGATTTATGTTTTGCTTTTCTATCCAAGATCTATGTTTATTGAGTTTTCTTTAAAAGTTATTGATTGCTTCTCCCTAGTGGGGTGACCTAGCTAGCCCACAGAGGAAGAGGATTCAGACAGTCGTGATGAGACCTGATAGGCTAGGGTCAGATAGAAGGGGGAGAAAGACCTCCCCTATCAATGGACTAAGGGAGGGTCATGGGGGGAAAGGAGGGTGGGTGGACCTGGAAGGAAATAAGGGAGGGGGCTACAACCAGGATACAAACTGAATAAATTGTAAAAGAAGAAGAAGAAGAACAAGAACAAGATAGTCTGTGCAAATGGCCAGAAGACAAGAATATACAACTTACTTCTCCATAGGGAGAACTATTAATATCAAGCAAATACCAATTCATTTTGCTTATTAATTTAACAATGTGAAATTACAACAATAACAAATCATGGTTTTATTTTGTTTTGTGTTTTGGGAACAGGGTTTCACTGTATAGTTGGATGGCCTAAAACTCAGTATGTACATCAGACTGGCTTTAAACTTATGCTGGGATTAAAGATCATTACACACAGTGGCAAGCACTTTTTTTTCTTTTTCTTCTTTTTAACAAATTAGTGGAAAAGTCAAACAATTTGTCCTGCATAATTTTTCATACTTTGCATTTGGTTGACAGAATTATCATGATATTTTAATTTTTTGTTGCTATTGTTCAGGTATAGTCAGGGTAACAGATCTGGAGGCTATTTACAGCTCCCATGAAAACTGGGCACACACCAGGCCATCACATGCAAAGGCTACATGAGTTCTCTCCGAAGTCAGTTAGGAGGTAAATGGAGCAGGAGGAAAACTTGGATAATAGTCTTTATTGAATTTTTCATGGAAATCTTTAGTAAAAGGTGAAAGATTTATATGATCTGAAGAGAAACCAGAAATGAGTAGGCTTAGAGTTAGAAGTTAGAAGTACAGTGTGCTGTGAATCTCAGCATCTGCTTTGATACCCTTATCAGTAGAGTCTTTTAGAAGCCCTATGTAGTAGGGTCCTGTCCTGTTGCTTCTCTTCTCCTCCTTCTGATGTCTAGCCCATTTGCCTTTCTGATTGAGGATTGGTCATCTTATCCAGGGTCCTTCTTCTTACTTAGCTTCTTTAGTGCAGGGAACCTTATGAAAGAAGGGGGATATAGAAAGACCTGGAGGAGAAAAGCGCTCCACAAGGAGAGCAACAGAACCAAAAAAATCTGAGCCTAGGGGTCTTTTCTGATACTGATACTCCAACCAAGGATCATGCATGGAGATAATCTAGTACCCCTGCACAGATGTATCCCATGGCAGCTCAGTGTCCAAGTGGGTTCCCTATTAAGGGGAGCAGGGGCTGTCTCCGGCATGAACTCAGTGGCTGGCTTTTTGATCACCTCCCCTTGTGGGGTACAGCCTTACCAGGCCACAGAGGAAAACAATACAGCCAGCCCTGATGAGACGTGATAGGCTAAGGTCAGATAGAAGAGAAGAAGGACCTCCCCCATCAGTAGGCTAGGGGAGGGGCATAGAGGGAGAAGAGGGAGGGAGTTTGAGAATGGGGTGAGATGAGGGAGGGGATACAGCTGGAATAAAATAAATGAGAAAAAAGAAATGCAGTGTGAATGACAAAAGGAAACATACAAACATTTGTAGAGGACATGATCCAAGATAGCGGAGACCAGTGGGCTCCATGTCTGAGGGGCAGAGGATCTGAAACATCGAAATTGGTGAGTGGAAAGTCAGCTGAAGCCAGAACATCGACATTGAGGCTTACTGGGCTAGAAGGAACAACCTGTGAGATGAGACCTTTTAGATCCAGGTCACCCACGGACTTCGCTGGAGACTGAGAGTGGAAAATATTCAGTTCCCCTGCACTTTCCCTTGTCCAGTCTCCCTCCTCAGCAGAGGCATCCCACAGTGCCTGCTGCTCCTAGAATAGAACTCCCTGCTTGGTATCTGAGACAGAGAAGGCAGGCTACCCAGTCGCTCAGTGGTGGGCTGCTGGCTGTATGGGCCACCTAAGTCTGCTGGGCCACCCAGCTCCACTGGCCCACCAAGGTCCACAGACAGCTGTATGGGTTCCCCAGGGCCTCCCAGCAGGCATCTTTACTGGCATCCTCCCAGTTCTGTTGCTGTGGCTGGACTCACAATGGACCCCTATACCAGCCTCCAAGTTCTGTGGCTGCAGCACCAGTGAGCTGAGAGATTTCCTACAGTCACATTTGCCCCAGCAGGCCCAAACTGAGAGTAGAGAATAGGGGGAACCCCTATGCTTTCCGATTAGACCTGCTAAAGAGTGAGTGTTTCTTCAACTGAGTGCGTGCAGAGCCCCACATTGTCCCTCTAAGCTAGCAGCCAGACATCAGATCCCTCCCACCCACAGCCCCACTGTGGGCAACATAGAGATTCTGCGGACAGGGTTCTCAACATTGAAGCCCCTGTTCTGTGGTTCTACCAGTAGAGTCCAGGCGAACAACTCCTGGAACACAGACAGATCTGAATTCCAGAAGGACAGTATGTCAGGCCTGTAAGCCACAGAGGTATTCAAGGAATCTGCACATATGCATTGTGTCTGCGAACACCACCAGCACCCACAACCCCTCCTGCATCTGCAACCCCGCCGCACATTCCAGGCATCTACACTCTCTAGCACCCTGTTCTTCAAGGCACACTTCCACCCACATGCACACTCTTGCTTGCCCACATTTGTGCACCTGAACCTGTGAATCTTCCTCCCTTAGGTACAGCTGAAACACCAATGCACACTCTCAAACCAATGGACCTATCTCATCTTCCTGAAGAATACTCCAGACACCAGAGAAAGACAGACCCAGTCTGAAGTACAGACTCCAAAAACAAACAGTGAAGGTTATGGATAAGCAGATGGCCAGAGGTCTGCATAAGAACACATCCAACAAAAATCAGGACTACATGGCATCACCAGCAAACCCCAAAATCAATTAATACTCCAGTTCATCAGAAACACAGGAAAATCACTTTAAAGATATGCTTAACAGTTATAAAGAGGAAATGAATAAATCTCTCAAAGAAATAGCTACAGAAATCGCAGCAAATAAAGAGGAAACAAACAAAGGTCTCAAGGAAATATAGGCAATTACAGCCAAACAAATAGAGGCACAAGTAGGGCCATATAGAGAGGAAATGACAAAAAATAGAGGCCATCATAGAAAGCCAGGAATCCACATTCAAGCAGATAAAGGAAATGGTGCAAGGCATGAAAACAGAATTAGAATCAATTAAGAAAACACAAACAGAGAAAACCCTGGAGCTGGAGAACTTAGAGAAAAGATCAGGAACCACAAAGATAAACACCACCAATAGAATACAAGAGATGGAAGAGAGATTCTCTGGAGCTGAAGATACACTCGCAGAAATTGATACTTCTCTCAAAGAAAATGTAAACTTGTAGAAGTTCCAAACACAAAATCTCCAAGAAATCAAGGACTCTGTGAAAAGACAAAATCTAAGAATAATAGGAATAGATGTAAAAGGAAATTCCAGGCTCCAAGATCCAAAAAATGTTTTCAAGAAAATCAAAGAAAATCTTCCCAATTTAAAGAAATAGAAGTCCATAAATATGCAAGAGCTTACAGAACACCAAATAATCTAGACCAGAAAAGAAACTCTTCGTCACATCATAGACAAAACACTAAATCTACAGAACAAAAAAAAATATTAAAAGCAACAAGGGAAATAGCAAAAAGCCTACACACACATGGAAACTGAACAACTTGATACTCAATGACAGCTGGGTTAGGGAAGAAATAAAGAAACTAAAGACTTTCTAGAATTGAATGAAAATGAAGACACAGCATACTAACCATATGGGACAGAATGAAAGCAGTGCTAAGAGGAAAATTCATAGTACTAAGTGCCTTCTAAAGAAATTTGAAAAATCTCACACAATCAACTTAATGGCTCACCTGAAAGCCCCAGGGGAAAAAAGAGGCACACACACCCAAGAAGAGTAGACAGCTAGAAATAATCAGACTCGGGGCTGAAATCAATAAATTACAATTAAATAAAACAATTCAAAGAAACAATGAAACCAAAAGCTGGTTCTTTGAGAAAATCAACAAGGTAGACAAACCCTTAGCCAAACGAACTAAAAGGCAGAGAGACACTATCCAAATCAACAAAATCATAAATGAAAAGGGGGTAAAGGGGGACATAACAACAGACATTGAGGAAATCCAAACAATCATTAGATCTTACTACAGAACTCCATATGCCACAAAATTTGAAAATCTAAATGAACTGGACATTTTTCTTGATAAATTCCAATTACCAAAATTAAATCAAGATCAGGTAAATAGACTGATTAGTCCTATATCCCGCAAGGAAATAGAAACATTCATCAGATGTCTTCCTTCCATAAAAGCCCAGGGCCAGATGATTTCAGTGCAGAATTCTAACAGACTTTAAAAGAAGAGCTAACTCCAACTAGCTCTTTTCTTCAAACTATTCTACAAAATAGAAACAGAAGAAACATTACCAAAGTCATTCTATGAAGCCACAGTCACCATGATACTTAAACCACACAAAGACCCAACAAAAAAAAAGAGGAATTCAGACCTATCTGTCTTATGAACATTGATGCAAAAATACTCAATAAAATACTTGCAAACCAAATCATAGAATACATAAAAGATATCACCCACCATAACCAAGTAGCCTTCAACCCAGGCATGCAGGGGTGTTTTAGTATATGGAACTCCATCAATGTAATCCACCATATAAACAAACTGATGGAGAAAAACCACATGATCATCTCCTTAGATGCCAAAAAATATTTGACAAAATTCAACACCTATTCAGGTTTAAAGTCTTGGAGAGATCAGGGATACAAGGCACATACCTAAATATAGTAAACACAATGTACAACAAGCCTATAGACAACAACAAAATCAATATAGAGATACTTAAATCAATCCCACTGAAATCAGGGACAAAGCAAGGCTGCCCACTCTCTCCATATCTCTTCAACATAGTACTTGAAATCCTAGCTAGAGTAATAAGATAACTAAAGGCGATCAAAGGGATACAAATCAGAAAGGAAGAAGTCAAAGTATCACTATTTGCAGATGATACAATAGTCTACATGAGTGACCCCAAAAATTCAACCAGAGAACTTCTTCAGTTGAAAAACACTTTCAGCAACGTGGCTGGATACAAAATTAACTAAAAAAAAAAAATCAGAAGTACTCATGTATACCAAAGACAAAAATACAAAAGGGCTGAGAAAAAAATTAGGGAAACAACAACATTCACATTAGCCACTAATAACATAAAGTACCTTGGTGTGACTCTAACCAATCCAGTTAAAAAAAAAACCTTCAAGTCTCTGAAGAAAGAAATTGAAGAAGATATCAAAAGATGGAAAGATCTCCCATGTTCATAGATTCGTAGGATTAACATAGTGAAAATGGCCAACCTGCCAAAAACAATTTACAGATTCAATGCTATTCCCATCCAAATACCAACACAATTCTTTACAGACCTTGAAACAAAAATTATCAACTTCATATGTAAAAACAAAAACCCCATAATTTCCAAAACAATCCTGTACAACAACAGAGGTATCTGGAGGTATCTGCATCCCTGATCTCAAGCTGTACTACAAAGCAATAGTAATAAAACTGCATGGTACTGGCATATAAAAAGAATGGTGGATCAATGTAACAGAATAGAAGACCCAGAAATAAATTCACACACCTACAGATACTTGATTTTTGATAAAGAAGCCAAAACCATACAATGGAAAAAAGCATCTTCAACGAATGCTGTTGGTCTAACTGGATGTCTACATGTAGAAAAATGCAAATAGATCCATATTTATCACCCCGCACCAAACTAAATTCTAAATGGATCAAATACCTCAACATAAAAGCAAACAC